TGGGACTGGACACAGTGTCAGTTAATTTAAATTCATGTACCTTGAGCGGACGTGGCTGTTGCTGTCCCTGCTCGGGCAGCACAGGGGCAGCTTTGCCACACACTATCCCCCAGAGCCGGGTATGAATCCATCCCATTTTCCCTCCATTCCCCACTGGATATTCTGCCAGGAGCTCTTGAAGGTGCACATTGTTGGGAAGGGCAGAACTAAAGCAGGTGCTACAACGACAGCTCGAGGCTCAGTTCCCAGGGATTTTCCCCTGTACAACTTCCTCAGGGAAGATAAAGTACAGCCAAAAAAGAAAAAAAAAAAAAAAAAAAAAGCTTTGGGAAAAAAGCCAGTTTGTCCAGTCTGGTCCATGTACAGTCCAAGTGTGTGAAGCTTGGTCTGGGGAATGAGGGACTCCTGCAGCCTCCTTTTCCTCTCCCCTTTATTGCTAATTACCTGAAATTTAACCTAATCCACCACTTCTGTTAAGCTCCTTGTACTGCAGCTATCATGAACTTCTTCTCAGTGTGGTAAAAAAAAAAGTACACAGCTAAAATCTTATAGTTTGGATTAAAACCAGGGTTAGAGAAACTTCCCTGGCTCAGGAAGCCACTATTACCTTGAGGCGTGCAAACGGGGTTAAGGATCAACACTTCCCTTAGCAGGAACACCTGAGGCCAGAGCAGACATGGCAGGGCTGGGGAATGGCTTTGGACTGGAACAGGACGCGGCTCTGCAGCGCTACCGAACTGCAGCCTGGCCCGGGGCACAGGCGTGGCTCTGAACACGGCTGGAGCCCGGCAGGGGGATGAAGGAAGGCGTTAACTCAGGCAGTGGGTCAGGAGTTGATCATCTGGCAACGCGGCTGGATGGGAACTGTACAGGTCAAGTGCAGCATCACACCCGGTGGAGGGCCCTTCGCGAGGGGCCGCGCGTGTCAGTCAGGTCCGAAAATAAAAAAATAAAATTAAAAAGCGACAATCACACGATCTTTTTGATGCTGTGACGCTTGAAGCTGCCGGCGCTTCGCTGCTTCTGCACTTGGCTGGCGGAGCCGTGGCGCATCCTCCCGCTGTTGGCGTGGCCGGCGGTGGGCGAGAGCTCCACGTTCTCCTTGTCGATCCCTGCGGAGACACGAGCGCCGCGCGGAGCTGAGCCCGCCGCCGGCAGCCCCGCGGATCCCGGAGGGGCCGCTCCCCGACGCCCGACCCCGCCGAGCTCCGCCCGCCTCCCCCGGGACGAGTTTCAAAAGAACCAAACAGATCGGTGACAGGGAAGGGCTGCAGAGCCGCCCGCTCCTGCCCTCCAGCCCGTGGGGCCGGCAGGGGACAAAGGGAGAGTAAAACCAAGAACACTTGGCGGTCTGGCTGGAAACAAGTCTGCTTAAGTGAAGGAAGGAGGAAAACACAAACCACCAAACTGACTCTTAATGAGTAAAGAAACAGTTGCCTAAGGAGGGTCTTGAAAGGACACAGGCACAGAGAAACTGAGGCTGGGTCTCCTCATGAAAACTGTGCTGAGTTCAGCCCCACCAGTGGCAGGAAGACTTGTGGGGCTCAGGATGACAATGGCAGCAGACAGGTCTGTGCCCATAAACTTAGACCCTTCTGAGAAGTTTTGCATGTCCTCTGCAGGACCTTGTCCTTCAGAGCAAAACTCTGTTATGCTTTGCTAAAAGTCTCCCATCAAACAAACCCCAAAACTGAAGTGCTTTAGTGAAGACCCCACACTGACACAACAGCACCACCCAATGCCAGCGTTAGAGCCCTCAGCAGTGGCTTTGGGCACTGTCACTGCTCAGCGCAGCCCTGCTCCTGAGCAATTGCTGCTCCTGAGACTGTGCTGGGAGTTAACCCTGAGCAGCCTCTGCGTGCAGCTGCCACGCTGAGTCTGTCAGGGGAGTGCTCACCAACACCTCAGCAGTGAAGAGCACGATGGGTGGTTTTATGCAAGAGGATACAACTGCAAGCAGCAGCAAAAATGAGGATGTCTGACAGCAAATACAAAAGGTTAGAACAAAGTTCTGTTATTGTAAGTGACATATTCACAATTATGTGCAAGAAATTAACTGGTGTTGGCATTAGTGAGAACAAAGAACACCTTCCACACTCAGCACGGGGACAATGTGAGGGCTCAGGCCAGAGCCTGCACCTTCCTCTCCTGGTGTGGGTGGCAGCACAAAATTCCCAAACTATGCTGAGGACAGGGACAATCCATGGGCACGAGCAAAAACCCCTCTTCTGCAGCTTTTTCTTACTTCTCCACACAAAGCAGAAATGCAGAAGCATGCAGCTCCTGATTTACTGCCCCACTGTCTGCTGCAGTTTAGTCCAAAGTCGTGTCTGTTTGCCCGAGTGTCCCTGCAGTCAGAGCTGAGTCCTGGCCAACCTAAGGAGCTCACACCAAACCGTTCATTTCAGCTTCACACGTGCAGCAGAGTGATTTCCATATTAAGCATCCCTCTTGTTGCCAGATTTATTCTCAAGGCTGTGGGTGACTTTGTCATCCCCCAAGAAATGCACCAGCTTAGCACTTGCTGAAGCCATTCCCGTGTCAGAAACTGCTGCTCATGCCACAGCCCGGCCCTGACGCAGCTCAAGCAGCATTTCGTGCAAATATGATGAAAGAAGAGAGTACCTGGATGAGGCAGCTGCATGAAAACTGCAGACTTAGAGCAAGGCAGAGAAGCTTCACAGACACAGAATGAAAGAAATAAACATAAGTGAATAATGTCCATGAGACTGGGAAGTGGAGGGAGAGGAACAGAGATGGTGACAGACAAAACATTTCTAAACAATGATCTTGCATAGTTGTTTCCAGATGCAAGAAATGAATTTTTCATGTATCTGCAACTTAGTATTTGTAGCCATAATAAAAAAACTCACTTGGCTGAAAATGTTTCTTTTAACGAAGTGCTGCTGAACACGTGGCCTTCACACTGGTGTTTTAAATTTAATTTCCAAGCAAACAGTGCTCAGAGTGCCAGCAGTGTGCTGTTTCAGACTCACTATTAACCTGAACAAGTTCCCTAGTTCCCAACTCTGTTTGTGGAGACTCTTAACCAGCCTTTGACAAAAGCCATCTGTTTGCACAGCACTTGGAAGGAATGTCTGACGAGTTGGATTAATTCCTTCCTCTCAGCTTGTAAAGGAAGAGGGAATGGAAAGTGGGGCAGAAGGAAGGAGGACATTTGCAGAGCAAAATGCTTCTTTCCCTTGCAGAGAGCCCAATCCTGCACCACCACCTCATCCCTGGAAAGGAACTGCTGGAGCTGCCACCGAGGCTGTGTTCCAAAGGGAAAGATGCTGCCCAGAATGTCCTTCCACACTGACTGCAAGGTATGTTCCCAAAGAAACCCCCGTTCCCAAATAATCCCAACAGCCTTGCCTTACTCCTGCTGCTCCTCTGAACCCTGAACAAACCATCTCAGTGCCTGTGAGCCAGGGATCCCCTGCAGGACACATGTTCCAATATAGGTGCTGCTGTTCTGATGCCCTTAATTCTCTTCCCTTCACATGGAGTGACCTGGCAGACAATCCAGGATCTGAATCAACAGGGTAACAGCTCAGGAACTATTTAATATTCGTTTGACTCCACAATGCACCAATGTTTGACACATTAACACATCCAAAGAGCCAAGGAAGCTCCTAAAGCAGGAAATTCCCCATTTCCCCCACCCAGATGGAACCAGAAGAGGCACTGACCTGGGGAGTGCTGGGAAGTGGCAAGTGAGGTCATGGAGTTGGAGAGATTGAGGTTTGCAGTGATGCTGAGCTGGCTCTGCACCGCTGGAGGATATGGAGAGGTGGGGGTCAGGAGAGATTCTTCACTGGTTTCCTCATCAATTCCAGGCAAATAGATGTCAATCAACGCATCCAGGAACTTTACGATGAGTTCTGCATAGTCTGGGATTTGGGTTTGCTGTGGGAGATAGGGGGAAAAAAAGTTGTTCCTTCCACTGTCAGTTTGAGCTTTGCTCCAGAGCTCACTCTCAAGTCCCTCTGTTTTGCCTGCAGATTTTCAAGAGCATTTGATGTACCAGTAAAAACTCAATTTGTGGCCTTGCCCAGACCAATCTAACTGTCCACACTGCAGACCAGGTGTCAGTGTGACCTCAGTGTGTGGGAGCCCAGGGCAGGAAAAGGGGCTGCAGAGCCCCTGCCCCAGCCCCACACCTGGGCCACCTCCCTTGGGATGGCTGGACACACGGGCAGTGCTCCACTGGTTCTACTCCAACACAAAATGTAGCCTCCTGGAATCATCACTCTTACTAAATTAACCCCTACCCTGCCAGATAAATGTAATGAACTGACCCTGGGAGCAGGAAAAGCTGCACTCACACACCTGGCTGCTTTTACCCCACTTTGGTAACTTATCTATCGCAGCACCTGCTGCAGGCTCAGCGCTGGTTGTAGCCCTGGAGGTGCCCTGATGCTCTCTCCTCACTCATATGAGGATGATGCTCCTTATGAGCATCTTTGCTGCAGCCAACGTGCCCAGAAAGGTCAAACAGCCCAGACCCCACAGAGCTCTTACCTTGGAGAAGGGGCCAGCAAACCTCCACAGCCCATTAAATCCAAAACCTGCAACAACAAATGGAACACCACCATGAAAGCCCAGCTCCCACCTGGCAGAGAACAGAGAGTGCTCCCAGTACAGCACTTTTTTAAAAAACAGGAAAAATATTTACTCTGTAGATAGGATGTTTGGTATTGGGGTGGAGACTCCTCATGGTACACAACACTCTGCACAATCCCATGAATTGGATTCAACAAGTTTGGGTCCTGGCACAGCGATAAAAGGGTATTGATCTTGGAATCCAATAAATTATGCCTGAGGAAAGGAAAAGTGGCTTAGTTTTTGGTCATTAAATAAAATAAACCTGCAGTTCCCAACTGACTTTAGCAACCAGCACTTCAGGTGGGATTTTTGCCCCAGCAGTGATTTCAGAACACAATTCCCAACTCTGTTCCATGAGGACTCTAATGATGTGCTCAGGTCGGTTTGTGAACACCTGCTCTGACAGCTGGGTTTCCTTTACACATATTCACTCCAGCAAAACTACAACAGGTGTCTAAAGAAACACCCAAAGAGCACCTGTACTAGGCTTTAAATCAGATTTGAAACACCCGGGGCACAAATTAAAATCAACCAGCATGGAGAGACTGCAGCCTGTAACCTCCATGTGAGCTAGTGCCTCGTAGAACTAGTGCTCCTGGACCAGAGAGCTCTAAAGAAGAGCCATCGTAAAAGAAGAGTTATTGTAACCACAACTTCAGGTACTCACACAACAGGAAAGACCTTTGGGAAGACAACGCTGGCCTCTGCTAGATACTCGTAGAGGATGCGCTGGTCGAACTCGTCCGTGGTGTATTTCACCAGCGTGGCCTGCCAGGGAAGGAGCTGTTAGTGCCCTGGGTGTTACAGCCTTTGCTGAAAGGGCTCAACATTTCTGACTACCAGAAAGCAGTGCTAGAAAAGATTGATTTATGTCTCTGTTGAGAAACAACAGGACCAGTTGGCAACAATTCGTTTTTTGCCAATAAATATATCTCATCAGTGTTTTACACAACTGAACATAGCTGGAGTGGGAACTGCAGTGGTACAGCTGAAGAAAGTGCTACCAGACTGCACCTCTGACTAGTTAATGACTTTTAAACTAGATCATCCTGGGATTCCAATAATGCTCATTTCTTTTAAACTATAATGTATTAATAACCTTTTGTTATACAAAATAGTTTGTCATAAACTAGCCAGGAAAAACTCCAAGGAACATATTTGTTTTGCTGGGAGTTAAAAGGACATCAGAAAATAGCAGACAACACACAGAAGAAAGCTTACAAGAACTGTAAGCAGCAGAGCTTGAGTTTTTGGGTCAGTCAGAACTTCTTCATCCAGGAGGACGTTTGACTCGGAAACAGAAACTTTCCGGAGGTGTGGGTGCTGCTGTGGTGATATTCTCTGGGTTTCTGCCAGATAAAAAAGAGCAACTCATCCAGAGCAAAAGAAACCCAAAGCAAGACAGAATCAGGTTCTGCACACCGGAGTCAGTCATGTGCAAACCTCAGAGCTCGCCGGCCCCGTCACAAAGGTCAAAGCAACGACTGCGCTGGAGGGCAGCAGCACTGCACCACTACATGGGATGTGTTATCAGATGGCAAACAAAAACCCCAATTTCCTCTTCAGTGAAATACAGGCCCAGGGGTGTAAGTACCAAATTTAGGGTCAGGCAGATACAAGAGAAGAACCCTGGTCTTGCATTGCAATTGGGGGTGAGGGCACAGGAAGCAGATGGGGGAGAAGATGAAGAGAGGCATTCCAGGCATCAGCTCACGTTCCATCTCCTGCAGGAATTTGCAGCTGGGGCTTATTAACTTATAGAAGGCCAAATGTTATTTATTTCATTGCACGCTTATATGCAGTCCTTTAGAGCTGCCCCTGATTCTGCACCTGTAAACTGAGCAGCTCCAGTGCAGCTGCCAAAGATATGAAGGCTGCACCCTGCAGAAGCCATTGCTAAGAAAAGTGCTTCTCCCTTACCTTGGAGTAACCTTGGTAAGTAAACACTGAATTTAGAAATAGCCCTTTGTATAGATATACAAAGCGTTTGCAATTAGTATTGTTCTTAAAATGTTAGTCCTGTGTCTCACCCATTTCATAATCATTTTCGGCTACTCTCCTCATTTTGGGAGGCGTTGTGATTCCAGATTCCATGTCTTGCCTTTTAGGAGCCTTTGTGTCCGATATCAAATGGTCAAAACTTTTCCTTGTACCTAAAAACAATTTATCAAGCAATTAAAAACATTAAACCTAAATCCATACTCTAACTTTTTCTGATTTTCTGACCAAGCTACTCCCCTATCTACCATGTTGACAGGAATCTGTGGACCTTTTCACCATTTTCAGGGATGGGACAGAAAATACGATCACACCATGCCGCTCTCCATCACAGCTTCCAGAGTGCTTCACAATACACAGGAGGGAGCATGCAATTAGTCAGGGGGGCATGCCATGGACTCCTGGCCCCCACACGGAATACACATGCCAGGACGTGGTTACTGAAAAGGAAGCAGGAAAGGGCTGGAATGAAGGAAATGCCCCTGTTCTTCCACCTGTGTAATGCCAAAGGGCTTCCACAAGTTCTGCAAAGCAACTCAGCTTGTTCCTCTGATACATGAGTTTGTTGTAAACATGATGCACTGAGAAGCCATGAGTACAAATCACATTGTTTACACACATCTACCATGTTCTGGGACCAACTCCTCCAGCCCCAACCAGAGCACTCAATGGAGCAGCTAAAAATCCACCTCCTGGGTTTGCTGGAAAGGGCTGGGAGCACAAAACTGGCACTAGGCACCTTCGGGAAATGGAATATCTTGTTTTCTCCACTCCAACATGCACATCTTGAGCATCGCTCTTGCTTCCCCCATCATGGCCAAAAGAATTGAGTCCTCTTTAACTGTCCAGTGCCCTGAAATTTGCATTTTGCAGAAACTGCATTTATTCCTCTCAATCAGGAATACGCCCTTAAAGCCAGAACTAATACAAGAACATTTTTTCTCCAGTAACGCTTCCCAGGGTATTCTGTAGACAGATCAATAAATTAGTTATGTTAATAACCTAGAAGCTTTTTAGTGTTGGCTTGTGAAGGCTGCCCCATGTCCAAGCTCATGGATTTCCGGGTGCGAGGGCTGATCTGTCCCACTGTCGGGTAACTGGCAGCCAGGTGTCTGTCTGACCCCTTGGGGGATGACCAGGGCTGGTGTTCCTTTAGTGTCCTGAAAGTGCAGAGAAATTCAATTAAGAAAATCTTAAAACTATGCTATTTAGGCAGAGCTTTTTCAAGCAGCCAAACTATCCTTTCTTAAACCCATCTTTCCTACCTGGTTAATTCCCCCAAAACACATAACAAATAGCAATTACTTTGCTTGCAAAGATGTCTGGGCTACTGAAAACAAATAATCTGATGTGAATGTGATGCTGAAGGGATAAAAAATAAAGCCATGAAAAGAACACAAGCAAATCAGCCTATGGGGTAAGATGAAATATATTTTGTCATCAGCCACTCCAATCTCAGTGCTAAAAAGAGAGATCATGAGTGAAGTGCTCCCTGTTGAGGACACAGGCTCTCCTTGGCACTTGCAGTTGATTTCCTGGCTGATCTCTCTGGCTGCACACAGGCTGTAACAAGGTGTAAAGGTTTCCCAGTGGGACAGACAGCTCCATGCCCTGGAGCTCTTAAAAGGACAAACAAAATGTTCCTCTAAAATATAAATGAGATTAAATCAGGTCTCGTAGAAAGATTTTAGCAAAAGGCGTAACAGCCTCCAGAGCAGTTAAGCTCTGCAAACTAAATCTGCATGAATTGCACATCCAAATTTCTGTGACTCCTGACCCCAGTGTAAGGAGGAAATTGCCCAGGAGCCCCCACAGCCCAAGGACTCAGCGCTATCAGTGGGGCCCAGCTCACTCACTACAGGAACCAGGCTTTGCAATGCAGGTAACTGATCTAAAAGTGAGACAACCAACCTATAGCTAGTGTCACTGTGATGGATGGGGAATGTGTCCATGGGAACATTTTCCATTGACACGTCTGTCAGCAAGAGAGACTTCCTGTGCTTGAGGCTGCAGCGGCTCCGCACCTCCTCCGACACCGTCAGCAGGGCTGCGAACACACACAAGGCAAGGCAAGGCAAGGCAAGGCAAGCTTTCACAGCAGAACAGTCAGCAGGGAAACAATATCCCAGCCCTCTGCATTTCTTACAGGCATCAGTGTACCTTTACACCAACACCACTGAGCTGCACCTACACCTTAGGGAATGTACAGATTAAAACCAGATAATTTAAAAAGAATTCTGTTTCCCATCCAGTTACAATGACAAGATTTACAAATTTGCCCTCACATGCTCATAATTTCTATGTCCAGACCACTGGAAACTTGAAGGCTGTCAGGCATATACTGGATTATTTACAACAAGAAACCTCCAGCCTCCCTGAAGAAGTGCCAAAGCTGTAGAGGATGTGCTGTGCTGGCAAAGCCCTCAGCCCCCAAAAAGCCTTCCCAATGTGCCCACCCTGACCACACTCCTGTCCACCAATTACAAGTTTTCTTTGTGCTGTACAATTTTAGCAAGCTGAAGGAATCCCACAATAACCAGTCCTTTTCAGTCAGCTCAGCCTGGAAAGGAGGTTTGGCTCATTACCTGCCAGGTAAGCCACGCTCTGGGTGTTCACCTCGAACTTGTCACAGTTCCTGTGTTTGTTAACCAGAGCAAGGAGTGTGTGCAAAATCCTCACTGTTCTTGCTACAGTGGTAGGGGAAGGATGCCTGTACCCTAAGAAACAAAAGATTGTATTTAACTTCTGAATCCATATTTATGAAGCACTAATATTTTGAAAGCATTTATAAATATTTTCCAGCACGTTCTCAGACATTCCATCTCAAGGGTAAGAGAGCACAGTGCTACTAGAAATGGCACATTTAAGACTAATTCTTTTTACCCCTCCCTCAAAACTGCATAATTTCAAATGTCTGTGCATACATTATATCTGTTATCTCACAAATCAGTCTTCTAAAAATCCCAGTGAGCCTGAGCACAGACAAACAGGGAGAGATATTCTTGGAGGAAAAAGTAAAAGACTGCAGCAAACGAAGCTCTGCACCCTGTGACAGTTCAGAACTTTTAGCAGCAGCACTAAAGACCTTCACAGGAGACATATAAAGTAAAACTGGTGAAGTCTTTTAATCCAAGAGTGTTTAATTCTGTACCTACTCTGTAATCCAAGTTACTCAAAATCCATCACCCAATGTGGCCCCTTTATCTCTTGACTTGTTTTTATTCCTGAAGTAAGAGCCATCTCAAACAAAGAGCATTATGCACTCTTACCTTTCAGGAGATGTCCCACTAGTGCAAAGTTAAAGTTGGAGTTGAAATTTAGCCCAACAAAATGATCCATCTGTTTGCAGTGCCATTCGAGTGGTCTCCTGATCTCCATGAACACTTCTTCTGGGCTCTGACCCACAAAAACAAAATACAAAAGCACCTTAGTTGAAGTTACTCAGGACATGTCAAGTTTGTTGTGTTTTTTGTTTAAGTGGCAGAACAGTTCTTTCAGAGGCTACAGGCAAATATCAAACACTTCCTCACAGATCACATCTGGACATTTCTGTTCCAGTTTCCAACCAAGTAATGACAACTTCTCTGCACACCTTTATCTGTGGATATGACCCGAGTGTAACAATTTCTAATGCAACTTCAGGTTCAGTTCACAAGGCCAAAGCTGGTTTTCCCCTTTTCTGCAGCTCTGAGGGCTGCAGGAGCGCAGGCTGTGGGCTCACCTTGTCGTTGAACACGCGCAGGCTGTCCAGGGTGTGCAGGTTCTGCTCCAGCAGGGCTGTCCCTGCCGAGTACAGGTTCACCTCATCCAGCTGCAGCACGGCCATGGCCACCCAGAACAGAGCCTTGTGCATAGGGGAGTCCTGCAGGGAGAGAAAGAGCCACCCCTGCCCCTTAGAGCCAGTTCCTGCAGGTGAAGGAACAGCCAGGATGGCGGGCAGGGTTTGTCCCCCTTGTAGCAGGTTTTGTCCTCAGCCACACCCATTCCAAGGGAACAGATGCTCTCATGGACCTGTTAATGCACTTCACAGGTGAACAGTAGAAAGGAAATGAATTTCAAGCCTTGTTTGCAACTCCCAAGCCATTCCTGCTCACCCCCATCCCTTCCTTGCTCAGTGTCAGACCCACCCTGCCGTGCACCAGCCTGAGCAGAAATGGGTCTGGTTCTGCATCTGAACATGGACGGCAGCTCTGCACACAGCACTGGCCAGGCACCTCCTCCTCACACCAGAGCCACACACAGGAGTTACTGGCACTGAGCACACGCCGGGTGCCCTGAGCAGAGCTGTTTGCAGAGCAAGTTCCACTCACACCAGGAGCTGCTGTCCCTGCAGTGCCCCCAGTGCCCTGAGGCAGAGCCTGGCAGTGACCCAGGCTGGCTGCAGGAGCAGCCCCCACACGTGGCGGGCAGGGCAGCAGCACTCCCAGCTCAAGCTGCACCGGAGCCTGTGGGAGGAACGGGCACAGCCTGGGCACAGCCTGGGCACAGCCTCTGCCCAACTGCCAGGGCCCCGCTCCGGGAACAGAACAGAACAGAACATTCCCAGCATTTCTCAAGCCTTTGCACTGGTCCCACAATCTGCCACACTTCCCATATGTGCTCCTTCCACGCATGAATCACAGTGAAGTGGGAACTTCAGAAACCCCACCATTTAACTTGTATTTCTGAGATCACACCCATAATCACAATTAACAAAATACATTCTCTGTTTATTCAAAAGGGCGGTGATTTACCTTGTTAAGAAGAGGCTGCAGCTTGGTGAGGGCTATAACTGTGGCTTCTATTAGAACTTGGCTATTATAATTATCAGGGCCTTTTAAACAGCTCTCAAGTCCCTGTTTGAAAAAAGAGAGTAATTAAAAATACAACCATAATTACATTTTGCTTTGTAAAAAGAAGATCAAAGATCTGCACAATAACTGTTTTTCTCAATTACTTACAAAGCCTGAGTTCATTTTAAACCAACTCTCAAGAAGTTTTCCAAATGGAGATTTAGACAGCAGAAATAAATGTATGACTGCACAATGTACCCTAACAGTCGGGCTGCAGGGGGTTGTAAGAGCTGTTGAAAAGCTCTTTTATCATTTAGACACGATTCAATTAAAGTTTGTGTCTATAAAACTCTAATGAAATGCTTAAAGGACACATATTTAGTACATTTTTAACCTGCTGTGGAACACAACCTGCTTTAGAATGATGGAACATCATTGTCAGGCCAGGCACCTGCTTCAAAGTTTTCTGATATAAATCAGCTCTTTACTATATTTACCTACCACACATGAGGTCATTCACTTCCTTTAAGCAAAAGGAAGCTATGCATCATGTGCATGCTGATAAATGCCTCAACAGAAAATTTCTCATTTATTCAAATACCGACTGCTGGATCTACCTGTGTCGGGAGTTTTAAACTCAATACTGAGACCTATCGATACTCTAGAAATCACAGCAGTGATGGAACCAATTCAATTTAAATTCAGAAGCCACCAAATCCATTTAAATTCAGAAGCTTGACCTACAGAAAGTGTATTTCCAATCAGTTCTACACAAGAATATGCTAGAAAAAACATTTATCTTAAAATTATGCCAGATTCTATATTTGATGGGAAAATAAAGCTAAAAATAGCTACTTTATGAGTCACAAAGGAAAAGAGACAGACCCATATACCTTGCTGAGAATTCGGATTATTTGTTTTATTTGTCCATGAGACACTCGTTTACTTATACAGCCAAAGACAACCAGTGCTCTTGGCTGCAGGGAGGGGTTGTACTGGAATGCAAACCTGTGAAGAAACAGAGCACATTGCATTAAACAACACACATACAACAAAATATACATAACAAAAAGATGAGAACTCTGGGTGTACTGCACAGGCACGGAGGGCTCAGGGTTTGCAACCTGACTTACTTTTGAGCTAGTTCAGTCCACTGGTCCAGCCACTTGCATGTTGGAATATCCCTCATACAAGCCTAAAGAGAATTAGATTGTTTGAATAGATGTAACGTGGAGAAAATATATTTGTACAACTGGGAATGTGCAGAGGTTTGGCTTTCAGAAATCAGCTGTTAACTTTCAGCAG